TACTCTGGTGTCTCTTGAGGGCGTCAGTGCGCCACAAAAAGCACCTATCTGGGTCTCCTATCGTTGGGGAGTCTCACCTACAATTCCCTGAGTACCACCGAACGCCGCCACGGCTACGGCAGCTCATTGACGAGTGCACCAAGGGCCGTCGCGAGACGCTCGACAATCAAATACTTCGTGTCGGCAACAAGCTCGTACTACGCGCCGACCTGGAAGCCAATGTGGACACCAACCCCGAGGTGCTTATCAAAGTGGCGCGGGACTGGTGGGAGAAAGAAGTCGGTTGGGCGGAGAAGTACCTGGTGGACAGAGAGGCGAAGAAACAGAATGGGACGTGGGATGATAACCCATATGATCGACCAACGATTCGACAGGTTCTCCAGAGCCCTGGCATCCATTCGTACAGAGATCATGGTGTAGTAATGGGCCAAGAAGCAGAAATTTGGCATACGATTAACGCAGTAACGTCTACTCTCAAGGGCAGTCCTTAGTGCCACCCCTACGTAATCTTTAGTGCCCGAGCAGTCAAAAAAGCTAGCGGCATTGGCACCCCGCTGCCTCGCATTTTCTCCTTCCTCTCGATTTCATAAGTTGGTCATGAGTATGGTCTTGACGCCGTAGCGCGCACTTCCAATGCAAGGGGGCTGGATCATCAGATTGTGACAAGAGAAGATATTCATTGTAAGCGCTATCGAGGCCAAGCGAAGCCATTTACAAACAGCAGAGGGAAATATGTATACCGCCTGTTCCACGCCATGGTGTGTTCGGAAGTTTGAAAATGAAAAGGGGGGGAAGGGGGAAGGGTCACAATTAGCAGGACCTGCTGACACGATGATGAAGAAAAAGGACAGAGATAAAGAGATCCAGATATGGGCATATGAATGTCGAAAGGAGGAAATCGACCTAAAACAGAGAGGAGGAGCTATGCCTATGCCTATGCCCTCCCACCATTGGAACCCCCCCCCCTCAACCCCCAAACAAAGCAGGCCGGAAGCGCCGGCGTCTCTGGCCCGCTGTATTGGGTGCGCCAACTCGCGCGCTCACTCGCTAAAGCAGCTCAGGCAGCTCACTTGACTCTCTTGGACCCGCGGCCCTGGGGCCCTTGTCCGCCGGAGGGGTCCTGCCTCTTCGATCCGCTGCCGCTCCGCGCGGGCTTCTTGAGACTGGCGAGCAAGCGTGACAGCTTTTCGGCGTAGGCGGCCGGGGCGCCGTGGACGCCAATGGCCTCAGCGACGGTCTCGAGGTCGGACAGGAAAGGGGCTGCCGCGTCGGGGAGGAGGAGGAGGGTGTCGATTATAAAGTTGGGCCGGGCCGCGTCGCCGATGAGACGGGCGTAAAGGTTCCGGTCGAGAAGGGTCGGGCCCGGGTGTGCGTCGCGGTTTCGGGCGGTGACGGTGGCGAGGATGCGGACGAGGGCGCGTGCTGCCGAGGTGCGTTCGCGGGACGTGAGGGGGGTGTCGCGCTTGAAGATTGTCGTGTTGATGAGCGTCGTCACGCCGAGGATGTGGCGCGCTGCCCAGGCCACGTTGCGAGGACCCTCACGGGACGGGGAGGAGGAGGTGCTGGGGCGGGCGGAATAGGCGTCCAGGTCGCGGAGCACGCGACGGACGCGCTGCTCGAGTTTGTTGAAGGGGTCTTTTATGGGGTCTGAGGAGCGAGCGCGGGAAAGAAAGTAGTGGAAGAAGTCGTTGTTGTCGAGGAGCATGCGGAAAATGGTACACTCAAGGTCGCGGCGCTTGATGATGTTGGTGCCGGGCGTAGGGTCGGTGAATATATCTTTACGATACTCTGCGGGATCAACAACGGCAACTGAGGCCAGGAGCTCACGAGCTTCTTGCACTCGAGATGGATCAAGATCTTCGTCGTCGTCGTCGTCATCATCGTCATCATCGCCGGAGTCAGGGTAAACAACTCGACAGCGCAGGCTGTCGGCGAGAACGTCGAGGTGAAAGTCGGAGATGCTCGAAAATGGGTCGCCGAGCTCCTCGGCAAACCCCTTCGGCGTCATGGTTAAGGGTGAAGTAGGGTCCTGGTCGTAAAGAGTTTGTTTAACCAGCTGATCCAGCAGCCAGAGCAAATGCTTGCAAGGTCCGTTTTGTTGGCCGCAAGAGCATCGAGGCGTCGGAAACTTGCTTTCCGATGAGCCGATTCGAATAGACCTGGGCACCATCTCTGTCATCTGAAAAGCATACGTGTCGTCCTGTAGACGACAGTACTGCAATGATAGTCTTGGGGGGTCCTTGAAAGCTTCTCGGACTGTAGAGCGGGTTTCGTCCGAGAGCCTGTCGATCTTGTAAGTGAGCTTTGTGGGCGACCTCACTATGGCCGGGGTCTCGTCCTCGGCGCTCGAGTCTTCCGAGTTGTCTTCAGGATCTGAAGTCGAGTCGGTCTCTGAGATGTCCAGGGGAAGCCAAGGTGTTTGTGATTTCGATGTTGAAGCCATGTCTTCAAGTGAAAGCTTGCTAAACCTGGAGACGGGAGCAGACATTGGAACAAGAAGGGAATAAGAAAAGGATGACTGTAGGGATGAGGTGGGAAGGAGGTTATTCAAGTCAAATGTTTTGGCGGACTGGCACTTATACTTGACTGGTGTCAAAGTTGGGACCAAGATGGACCGGAAGAGGGCCCCCAGTCCGTTGGTGGCTTCCTCTTGATCAAGGTCAGAGCCACCGGCAGAGCAAGATGATGGCTCCTCCGATGGACGGGGCTGAAGGCAGTTGTCAAGCGGTCCCAGTCAGCCAGAGATCATGAAAACCGTCCCATGATGGTTGGCAAAGTCCTGCCCTAAGGTATCCAGCTAAGGTACCTAAGGTAATTGGGCCAAGAATAGGCTAGGTCTGAAAGTGGAAAGACGGGAAGCTGGCGCCTGGTGAGTCTGGGTACTTGACGCAACATGACATTGTTCGGAGGCTGTGAGAGGTCTCCTTTCGACAGCCAGAAGATGCACATGAGACGATGAGGGCCTTGCAAGGGGATGGTGGACAATTGACAGGTGCTTCTGCAAGGATGCGGGTGGGTTGTTTGAAAGTCAGCTCCAGTACTATGACGGCATCTAGGGAGGGGTTGTAGCGGTCGGATCTTCCAGTTCTGGTGCTTGGAGGGCCGGTTGTACGGGATGGAAGTAGAGAGCCTGGTATGGCATCGTTAGTCTGGTCATCGTTGGTGGTGGTGATGATGAGGATGGTGGTGAGGACGACATCAGGGAGGGAA